ATAAATCCTGGAGAGCATCAACTGAAATATCCTCGACGGTTGGGTCTTGTCCTTGCAAAAAAGTCTGAAAGTAGGACACAGCCTCTCTCTTGATATCAGGAAGCAATGTAAGAACCTCTCCTTGCGCTGTAACCAAACTTCTTATCGTATTTTTTGCATTTCGTGTCTGAACAATATTGTGAAAAACCTTCGTATTCTGATCTCCTACCGTCAACCAACGAACACAAGACTTCTGCTTAAAGAATTTTTCCTCAACTCGAGCCAAAGCATCCCATCTCTCAGCGGCCTCAGCCACCCTCGCAGAGTTTTCCACCGTTGGATCCAGTAGTGCTCTGTTTTGACATTCACAAAGTTCTTCGAAGGCGTGCTTTGTGCGGCCTGGCAAATCACCATAATGCGCTTTATTCAGCTCACGCAGAGGCTGTTTGAGAAGCTTCAATTTCCTATGGAATTGAGAGAGGGCTGTCCTGGAAGGATATAACGTTTCAGTAGTGTCCCAGACTCCCTGAACTGTCTGCAAAAAATCCTTGTGCTCAGTCAAATAGTTGAAGAAACGAAAAGGTTTTCTAGCATCATTAGTGATTCCTGTCGTACGAATCAAGCATCTTGCATGATCAGAAATTCCACCAGCTTCGAAGTGTGCTGAGGAGAGAGGATATCTACTAAGCCAGCTTTGGTTAACCAGAGCTCTGTCTAGTTTCTTACCAATAGGATCCTCCACTCGATTGTTCCACCACGTAAATAGAGCACCTGTGTAGGCAAGGTCCATAACTGAGCAATCTGTCACTGCTTCTTGAAAGTCTATAATGCCCGAATGGTCTCTACGGTAATCCAAGGCGCGAGAATGCTCGCTGGAAGCCAAAGTTTCGTTAAAATCTCCCAACACAATCCAAGGGAGGTTGAGATGATCATAAGCAGCTTTTGTACCTCTCAGGTCCTCCCACAAACGTACTCTATCCGCTGCAGCGTTAAAAGCATATATAGCTGAGCATATGAATTCTTCTCCTGTAGAAGACACCTGAATGGCACATGTGATTACCTGTGAACTCATATGCAATTGCGTTACTACAATCTGATCCGTCCAGCACACCCAGATTCTCCCCAAAGGGTGATACATATAATTCGCTAGGGACTTCCATCCCGGCATCGCAGAATTCATACACCACTGATGATTTGATTCCTGCACTCTAGTCTCAACAAGACAACCAAAAGAAGGCTTCTCCACTTGTAACCATGAACGGAGGGCTCTATGCTTGCGTGGCAAGTTGAATCCACGCATGTTCCATGCAAAAAAAGACGTCATTACTTCCTAATGGAAGCTTTTTTGTTGTCCCTTGCTTACCAGCATATATCAGGTCTTTAGTCCGAACTATTTTCCCTCGCGCTTGTTTTTGAACCGATCCATTTTTCCTGCCTCGGTTTGTAGCTTGCGCATCCTGCATTTTCTTACCATCCACTTTAGTCTCCAAAATCTCACCATCCTCCACCTCCTTTCCATTCTCGTCTATATCGTTCTCCTCCTCTTCATCAATGCCCTGTAAGGGGCTGAACCGTGAAGGAGATATCAATAGCTTTCCTTCACCTGCAGCATCATTTACTAACTTCAGTCCTCTTCCAACTTCCCATCCACTGGCCCCATTGGTATGAAAAGTCTCCTTAGTAGGCTCAGATAGCTTTATTCCTTCTATCTCTGCAGTAGCTTCAGCTACAAGAGTCAACACTTCTAAATCCTGAATTAAGTTCTCGAGAGTGTTCCCCTCCTTAGCCAAATCCCTCTCCAATTCTCCCCCCTTACTACCTACCGCCTCTGCATCCTTGTTACCCTCCACTTCTTCAGACTTGTCTCCAGACTTACCTCCTCCATGAGGCATATAAGCAAAAGATGCTGCCTCATCATCTGCCTCTCTATTTAGGATTCGAATCTCCTTGCTCAAACATTCCTGCCCCTTATGACCCCACCTGCGACAGACGCTACATCGAGGAGGAAGCCAAGGAAACCTTACTTCCACTTCATGAGCATCACCAGCCTTGTCTTTGAAAGATATTTTTTCCACCAGAGGTTGATGCAAATTGACCTCCACAAGAGCTCGTGCCACATCTAACCTCACACACTTCTCCGTACTTGGGTGGAGTTTAACAAAATGACCAACTGCCCGAGTCAAACACTTCAAACCCTTGTGAGAAAATAGGTTGTTTGGAACACCCTTTAAATCAACCCAGAGTGGCATAGCCGACAGATCCAGAGGATGCATAGAGGACTCCGGAGACCACACATTGACTACCAAAGGAACATCAGCAATATGCCAATACTTCCTATGAATCACCCTGTTCCTCATATGGACGCTCTCTATTCGAAACAGTACTGTATTTTTTTCAATGAATTGAACATCAGTCTTGGAACCCCCTTTTGGAGCAGTCCAAATACGATTGACTGTTGCGTGGATAGTTCCAACGTGAGGAGCATCTCCTATGAAATACCCCACTACATAGCTTTTCCACAGGAGCTCTGCCTCATCAAATATCTCTTCTGGTATCTGTAAGGTCGCAACACCATCAACGATATCACACGTAGCATCTGGAACGCTACCCCCAATCTGCTTCTTTGACCATGGATTAGGTCGTGAAGATCCCTCTTCCCCCTGGCCATCACTGCCTGGACCATCCCCCTGCGAAGCCTCATCACTACCAGGTTTTCCGTTAATGGTCATCTTCCCTGCATCGTCAGATTCAGTCGCCTCATCGTTTGCAGTCGAGAAGGCAAGAGTCAATGTTGCCCCCGTCCGTGCTCCCTCGCTCGCGTCACCTCCTTCTCCATCCGTAGCTGAGGAAGACGCCGCCGTCGCCATCGTCCTTTTTTTTTGTCCCCTATAGGATGCAATTTCCCTTAATTCTATACATACATATATATATATATATATATATATATATGCATGTGGGTTTGCTTTTCATTCAGTTCTGTTTTAGTCTTTGCGGTTTTGTTTTTTCAGTTCTATAGATTTAAGATACGTTCAGCTATTTTGGAAATTCGGTTCAGTTTCAGTTCAAATATTTCAGTTATTTATCTGGGTTGAATAATAATGTTAGGAAACGCCTAATAGCCTATAAATTCTGGTTTCAATTCGGTTCTGATTCGGTTTTGGACTTTTGGATGATTTCATATAGTTCGGCTAATTTTTTTGGATTAAATCTTGGGTAATTAGGATAAACTTCAATATCATTGGGTAAAATTATTTGAATAATTCAGATTATTTTTTAAAATATTTTAGATAAAAATATTCAGATAGTTCAGTTTTTTGGATATTCGGATTTATAACTAGCATTTTGAAAATATTTGATAATTTTTAACTAAATATAATTAATATTTTAGATATTTGAACATTCATTGGGTTCTCAGTTTTTGGTTATGGTTCCGGTTCCGTTTTGGTTGAGAAGATATAAGAACCCACATCCTTCAGAGAAGGAACAATACCCTCGCTACCTCTAATTTAAAGGTGTTTACTTTTCAAAATAATGGTGCTTATTAAAGATGTTCTAATACCATCAACTCCATAGGTTATTTACTAAAATTAACTCTAGACAAATAGTATTAAACAGTTCACAGTTCAGATGAAGAATGCAACATTTGTGTGTTTTTCAAAAACAACAAATATAACAAAATTGGCTAGGTGCAAACAGAGCTAAAGTTAGTGAATCCACTTTATTCATCCTCCCGAACCTCTCACAAACTATCAAGACACTAATACAAGAACATGCATATGTCACTCTTCTTTAGAAAGGGCTATACAAACCCTAGATTGGCACAAGGTTACATACAACAAAAGTTACACAACACATACATCAACAAATTAATCACGAAGCTTCATGGACTCGCTTTAGTTTTTCTATTAGCATCTGCAAGTAGCAAAGCTGATACATAAATTACTTGCGAAGAGAACCTTCCATTCACATGTAACAACACTAATCGCTTAAACAGTAAAAGTTTTGGAAAAGACTTCATCTTCGGTGTTGCATCTTCTGCTTATCAGGCATGTAACAAATGTCGCCAGCCCTACTTTTGACGTATATAGAAAAATAATTCCATAACATTAAAATCCAAGGTTGCATGGTGGTTTTTTTTCATTTCAGATTGAAGGAGCGAGAGGTCGTGGTCTTAATGTTTGGGATGGCTTCAGTCACCGATACCCAGGTATATCGTTTGCACGGTGACACACACACACACAGACACACACCATATACATAAGATATATATGAGAGCCATTGAAAGGAATGTTGGCTATATGTATACATATTAATGTATTTGAAATTACTATCAGAGAAATCAGGGTCAGATTTGAAGAATGGAGACACTACCTGTGAGTCAATTACGAGATGGCAGGTTTATTTCTCAGTAAATATATACTCTTGACTTAACTATAACTACAAGCAAGTTGACATGTGATTAAAATATGTATGAAAACCGAAGAAAGATGTAGACGTGATAGGCGAACTCAATGCTACGGGCTACAGATTCTCCTTTGCGTGGTCAAGAATCATTCCAAGTATGTACACATTATCTATCAATGCGTATATATATATATACATATATATATATATATATATATATATATATATATATATGTTTCTTTTGTATTTTAACTGGAATCATGTAACTGGAAGAATACTAAATGTAATGTATATGTACATGAGCAGAAGGAAAGGTGAGTAGGGGAGTGAACAAAGGAGGTCTTGAATACTACCACAAACTCTTAGATGCCCTCATCGAAAAGAATATAACGCCTTTTGTTACTCTCTTTCACTGGGACCTTCCTCAAACACTGCAAGATGAGTATGAAGGTTTCCTGGACCGCCAGATCATGTATGTTATATTAGCGCCATGCGTCCTATATGAAGAGCGTATATATATTATTACAAAAAAAGACAATTTGGTCTTAATAATATCCATTACTGAAATGATTCTATATTAACATTCACAGACAGGATTTTAAAAATTACGCGGATCTATGTTTCAACGAATTTGGTGGGTAAAGCACTGGATCACGATCAACCAGCTATACACAGTGCCTACGAGAGGCTATGCAAGTGGAACAGATGCCCCTGGCCGATGTTCGCCTAAGGTTGATGCCAGGTGTTACGGCGGAAATTCTTCAACAGAACCCTATATTGTTGCCCATCACCAGCTTCTTGCTCATGCCAAAGTCGTCGATCTTTACAGGACGAAATATAAGGTGAATGGTCTCCATATGTGAAAGGTGGTATAATCTAACATATCTGATTTTATTTTTTTATGTATCACGTGACGGACAGTTCCAAAAAGGGAAGATTGGACCTGTGATGATAACTAGATGGTTTCTTCCATTTGATGAGACTGATCCTGCTACCGTAGAAGCAGCTGAGAGGATGAACCAATTCTTCCATGGATGGTTTATATTTATTCTGTATATTATCAAAAATGAAATGATTTTTGACAAGTCAATATAATGTGTTTATGTACATTGATCAGGTACATGGAGCCGCTAACAAAGGGTAGATATCCAGATATCATGAGGCAGATTGTGGGTAGTCGGCTTCCCAAATTCACCAAAGATGAAGCCCAGCTCGTTGCCGGTTCATACGATTTTCTTGGTCTCAACTATTATTCCTCTCAGTACGCTCAGCCAAAACATAACACATATCCTTCAGAGAAACACACTGCCATGATGGACGCAGGCGTAGAGCTCACATGTACTACTCTGTTTCCGTTTAGTTACACACGTCCTTTCTATATATATACATAGGTTCTGTCTCATATTTATTAACATACTTTGTGAGTGACCATCAATTATTTCATCCTTGTGTATACAGATGATAATTCACGTGGGGAAGTTATTGGCCCACTGATATATATGCAGGATCCCCGCTATGATTTATCTTTCATTAGTTTCTTTTCTTTTCTAGATTTTAATATAACTCCCGCGATTACTTTTTCTGATTCATATGTATAATGTTGCTTCCCTTTCTCAGTTCGCCGAAGACAAAGAAAATGGTAACAGCTATTACTACCCAAAAGGAATTTATTATGTTATGGATTATTTCAAAACCAAATATGGCAACCCCTTAATCTATGTCACCGAGAACGGTGAGTTCTACATACTATACTACTCATCACTTTTCATCTATACTATTTATGCAAATTAGTGTGTTTCAAAATTAGTCCAAGAATCTGACTCTCAAATATTGTGGAATATTTTTTCATGTTATGGCGGTTTAATTAGGATTCAGTACCCCCGGTACAGAAACCTCTGAGCAGGCCATTGACGATGACAAGCGAACTGATTATCTCTGCAGTCATTTATGTTTTCTCCGTAAGGTCATCAAGTGAGTGGATGCATACATGATTTTTTCGAATGTTTACCTTGTTTTTCTTTTCTTTTTTTGCTAATATTTATATAATTGTTCTTGTATAGAGAGAAGGGTGTCAACCTGAAAGGATATTTTGCATGGGCGCTTGGAGATAATTATGAATTTGGTAAAGGTTTTACTGTCAGATATGGACTCACTTACGTTAATTGGGACGATCTCAATGACAGAATGATCAAAAATTCTGGCAAATGGTACCAGAGATTTATTAACGGGACCGCCAAGAACCATGTGAAACAAGATTTCCTCCGCTCAAGCCTCTCTTCCCAAAGTCAGAAGAAGAGCCTCGCTGATGCATGAAAGACTTTTCCCCATATGCATGAAAGATTTTTCTAATTCCTCCATAGTTAAGGAGTTTCTTCTACTTCTAGAGTACTATATAAAATTATTAATAAAAAATAAATCAGTTAGTAATACACAAAATAAGTCCAAGTCAGTTTGAGTCTGTTTATGTTGATGACAAAAAAAAGTAATACACAAAATAATTTTACCAATATGTCCAAGTCATGGGAATAGGGGTCAAATAATGCAATTAAACCACAAAAACAGAAAAACTCAAAACTACAAACTAGTTTGGTGTAATAATAAATATTAGCGAACTGATTACCCTAACGTATATTATTAGCTTAATGAGTTCAACTTTTATATAAAATCCTAACTTCAACAAAAAAAAAACCATGTCCAAACCTAATACAAGCTCAAAACTAATCAAGCTAAAGTTCTGTCATCATCAATTAAAGCTAAATCAAAATTTCACATATAACTTTTTAGTTTATCATTCTCAAGCAAAGCAAAAGAATATAAACCGCAATGTTTTCTCCTACTAAGAGGCAACGCCCCATAACATATCACATATTAAAAAACCCTGGTGAATACTGTCATTGTGATTTAAAAAGGTGAATACTGTCATTGTGATTTAAAAAACTAGATTATGATCTGCGCTTTAAAAGTTCAAAAATATCTTTTAAAAAATTAATATAAAAATTAAAATTTTAATATTTTATCTTACTGTATTTGAAAAGTGTATAATTATATTATTTTTATTTATATTAAACATGAAAATTATATAAAACATTGCTTAATTTTAGTTTTTATTTTTTTCAACAATTTTTGTTATGATTATTTAATAAGAGAAATTTGTTAAATACAACCCAAAAATTGAATTAAAATGCAGAAGTAGACTACATCTTCATTCAAATGCAAATCTAAGCTAAACGGTTTGTAAAATGACTGTTTACTCTTTACGACCAAAAAACCAGAAAACTATTTTATGATTCTATCTTTCCGAAGTCTACTAGGTGGAAATTTCCAAAAAATTCTAATAAGTAGAATTCTCAAGAAGTCTAATTTTTAATTTAATATCTAATTTTATTTTAACATTAAAAATACTCTTTTATAAAATATATTACAAATCATCAATCTATGAAAATAGGAGTTATATAAATTAAAATTTAATTTATATAGAACAAATTGAAAGAATATATAATGGTTTGCTACCCATGTTTGTAAAATGTTTATTCTTTTATAACAATAGGTTGGAAGATGTATTTATTGCTAGGGTAAGATGTTATATATTTTATTTCTTTAAATTTACATATAAATATTGAGTCGTTTATATTTTACAATATTTTGAAATTTTCTACAACGATTAATTAGGACTTTCAGTAATTTTAGAATTTGAGGGGTTTGTGGTGTAGGGTTTAGAATTTAAGATTTGTGGTTTAGTGTTTAGTAGACTTCAAATGAACTCTACTTGATTTTATTATGAAGTAGTGGTTGGCCCGCCCTACGGGCGGATGAGTTTACATTAAATATATTTTAATTTTATTAAATATTAAAATATTTACTTTATTTTGAAAATAATAAATATTATATTTCAAATATTTTATCATAAATTTTATTTACTTTTGTTGATTTGAGTTGAAAGAAATTTTTTTTAGTGAACACGAAATTACTAAATAAATAAAATGTAATAATTTATATAGTTTTTTAATTTTTATTCCAATTTGATATAGTTGAGTAAGGTAAAAATAACATATACATATTTTCTAAAAATTTAAAAATTTAATATTATTACATTAATTAAAATTTTCACCATAATTAATGAACTCGAAGCTAAATCAATTGAAATATAGTGTAATGTGATAAGATTGTAAAAATGTATATTTTAAAGTACTATATAAATAGTTTCAATAATGTCATAGATGATAATTAACATATTTCATTTAACAATAAATTATCTCTTATAAATACGTTTGTTTCAGTTTAGATTAGCTTTCCAATTTATAATGAAATCTATTCAATTTTTAATTTATTAATTATATTTTATAAATTATTTTAGCATTTGTTGAACATTGTTTTATAGCAGAATGACTAACAATTCCAACTGCTGAATATAAGCCAAATTACAAACATGTACACCCATGTCTAAAGGTAACACGAACTCGGTTTCGTATCTTTTTCAGATCATATTTTACTCAAATTGAAGTCATATCCGTAAGTAATAAGTAATACCGAGAAAACATGAAAATGGAGTGTAATCAGAACCAAAAAGTATATTATAAGTTACTGCATTTTTTTTTTTTTTTTTTTTTTTAAGTTACTGCATTGCTTAGAAAGGAAAGCAATCCATTCACCTTCTTTTGCGGCTCTTTCTCAAGGTTTGAGTGAAAATAAGTGACCATGTCAATCTCAGAAACATGTTCGAAATATATAAACCCTCAACCGTTAGATTCATGAAAAATAAAGATTTCCATCAATAAGTCCAAAAATTATGTTTATGAAATGAAGATTGTACCTTATTCGTTAAATTATGCTTCTTCCTCTACGATAGTCGATCGAATTGCTGCATTAGGAATGAGTTTGATGGCAATATTTGTTGAGTTTGACAACAAATATTTTAGGAACATTAGGAGAAGAAGAAGTACACACCCCCTGACCGTGAAAGCCCTTTACAAACCTGTCAAGCCAACATTCATGCCATGCGTAGTGATCCGAACACAAAGTACTGCAGAGGTCATGCGAAATATTTTCCAGCTCTTAAGCCAAAACATTGTGGTTAAAGAGAAAAAAGACAAATACTACTAAGACATAAAAAGCCGTGTATTTTGGGGGTATATAATACAATTGTCTCTAGAGTCCAAAGATTCGTCTTTGTTGTTCGTATTAGGGCCGTAGAAATATAATGTAATAGCTAGCAAAACATAAGGAGAATACTAAATGAAAAAAAAAATATTATTAACATATTGGTAATTACTGGTTGAACTCCGCATGTCTTTCATATCGGAGTAGAAGTAATTTTCTTTATATTATAGTCAAATTTCTATTTCGCGAAAATATGTGGATGGAAGTGTGGAATTGAAATGAAGGTGGTGACTATGTACACATCAAAAGCTGCAGAATATTAAAGTAAATATGGTCAGCAATAAAAAACTTGATGATAATGTTATTGTTCTGTTAGTTAATGATATTATTACCGAGCAGTTGGCCAAGTGAAACAAAACATTTAAATTCTGACGGTATTGGAGCGGCCGTGATTTCAACAAACTTTGTTAGGCGGTTCAGCGAATGGTGGTGAAGAATCTGTCAGCTTGAAATAAACATGAATTTGTAACTGTATATATATCTCAACAATAAACAAATACAATACCTTTTGAAATAAAGATCAAACAACAACCCTCAGGTATTGAAAATGATATGGGAAGAATGAGGTCTGGATCTGGAGTAAGAATAAAGTGGTAGAGGTTCTGACGCCGCTAAGAACATAGCTTTCGAAATAGCTCATTTGCATGTGAAGGTGAGTTGTTGATGGATGCAACTGCATTTTAGGCATACTAATATCTCAATAGCACCTCTCGGCCAATTATCTATCTAGCTATTGGGAAAAAAATACCTGATAGTCCCGTAGGGTGCTGTTATTTGCAGATTGATGGCCAGCTTTCCTTGCTGAAGGTTGTGCATACATGTCGCCAGAGGCTGTGACATCATGAGATTATGTTCTTAAAATTACAAAACATACTGAAAAGCTTTCTTTTTATAACACATACCTTGTAATATTGATGATATATTGCATCGGGAACATAGTAGGAGAACAGTGGCAATACATATTTAACTAAATTCCATGGGTCTTGGTCTTGTGCAGCCATAATTAGACTGCAAATCAGATGACCTAAGTGCCGATATGTATGGACCAAAACCAAATTTCAATTATAGAGAAATAGTTATATAGTACTTACCTAGAGAAACTTTTGTCCACATTTTTATTGCTTCTTTGGAAGCCTTGGCTACAGCTTTTGGGGCTTTGCTAATTTTGATTTCAGGAACATCATTAACTACCGATTCCTGTTTTTTTTTTCAGTCAGAACCTTTTGTTAGAATAGTAAGATTTATAAAACTGAGACTCAGATGTAACGCACTGATTGGAAATTTTCGTTGATATTAATCTCACCGTTACAAAATCTTGAGATGCAGTTTTGGCTGAAGAGACATTTTCATCAAGCATGAGCATGTAGACGTCCATGAGCTCTCCTCTTTTCTTGAGGTTGCGAGTTTCCCATAAATGCAGCAGACGTGCCACCACTGTCTGAGGACAACAACCGTACTTCAAATTGGAAAGAAGGATACATGATGACACCATTGTTGCAGGATGTGTGTGTAAGGAAGCTAAGGGTTGAATCTAGTGGAGAGGAAGATCTCCAGTCTTATGATCTCTATTTATAGTGTTGAAATTAGGGATTTGAGATGGGGTTGAGGTAAGAAGAAACTGAAATCAAATTTTTAGGAGAACTTGAATGAGAGAGTTTATGGAAAAATTTATGAGAAGGATTCAATGGCTATGAAAAACGTTACATATCCGATTTGTTATCGACATCAAGTGAAGAGGATGTGACGAGGCAAAGACGATCGAGGAAGAATACTCGAGATGGATAATTGGGCTTGGTTGAAGTGTAATATTAGGTTTGTTGGGTATGAGATTAGGCCTAGCCTTCTAAACCAATAACTGAATAGCCCACATGCAGGTCAAAGTAATCTTACGTGTCATTTTTTTCTCCCTCCTAAATGCTGATGTGTACACTCTAAGAAGAGAGAAAACCTTGTTTTATTGTATAAGATTCTACTCTCAAATTAACCTTCAAAGACCTCTCTCAAATAACATTTAATGTCAAATTCATCCGGTTATATTTTTCTTGGAACAAGTTACCGCTGACAAAAGATAAGACGATGACATGAACATCAACTTATCTGACCCATGATTTATAATCCTTGTTCATAACTTACAAAAAAAAGAGGACCACGTCACT